GAGGAAATGGCAAGAGAGGCTAAGTGACTTTGGCTAGAAAATAATGGAGCCAGAACCCAAGTTCTAGCATACAATTCCGAAAACTATAGGTTTTTCACACAGCCACAAGTAGAAATGGACTTTCTGAGACTAAATGTCATTACATTTAAAAAATAGTTTTGAAAATAGAAAATGAGAATTTATATATATTAAAATGTTCACTGTATTCATCAAGATCCCCACAAGTAAACAGAGGGAATGTTTAATAGAATTTACAAGAGACACTGTTGTAGGTGGAGCACTAGAGAAATCACATGGGAGCATTATGTTAAGCGAAATGAGCCAGACTCAGAAAGTAAAGGGTCATATATTTTCTCTCATATGTGGAAGCTAGAGAGGAAAAAAAAAGGATCTTATGAACATAGAATGGAGATCAGTATAGTAGGAGATGGGGATAAAGGGGAGGAAGGAGGGAAGAGAAAGGGGGATTACAGAAATTTTGTGGGAGAATGCAGTACTCTAGGGTTGGTACCAGCTAAGCTTGAAGAGGTGAAGGGAAAGTTGCTGGACTTCTAAACAAAGAACTGTGTGGAGCCTGCCCTGACCTCTAGGTTGAGACACTCAGGACCATCTGTGGACACAATCCCAGGCTATGAATGATTTGTTCAAACTTGTGATAAGATGAGGAATTTGCATCAGAACATAACTCAGTTATGTCTCCCAATGTACTGTGTAGTTCGGCTGATATTTTATTCACCACAAGATGTTCTCAATGAAGGAATCAGTGTGTTGGTTTACATTCTGAGGCAGGTTTCTATGTCATTACAGATGACTCCTTTGTGGGGCACTGAACCGAGTTCTGGCTCTGCAGATAATGAAAAGCACGCTAGAGGTCCCCCCAAAGAACTCCCTTGTGCCTGCTCTCCCTTCCTGCCTTACCATCTGCTAAAGAAAAGAAAACTAATATTTTTATGTACCTACTCTAAGCTGGGCACCATGCTAGGGTACTTTAGATGATGTTTGATTCTTGCATGGTAAGTTATTCACCTTTACAGACAGGAATTGAACCCAGAAAGTATAAGTAATGTGCTCATGACAGCTAACAAGTGTCAGAACTAAAAATCAAATCCAGACCTGCCTCCAAAATCCTTGCTATTCACAATAGCTAGGCTGCCCTGGAACCATGTTTAAATTATCTGACAGTAACACCCAGGAAACAAAGTGGGATTGTGGGGCTGGGGAGTTGCTTTTGTTTGGAGGCCCATGGCTGTATTAGACAACTAAGTCACAGTTCCTGAAATAGACACACCCCAACTCCCCCCAAATCAGATAGCACCATTTATGGGCACCACATTCCTCTGCTTTACAAGGCCTTTCCCAGCCCAGCCAGTTGGGTCAGAGGTAAAGTCAGTTTTTTCTAAGTAGCTCATGTCTTTTTCCATCTCTTTATAAGCCTGGGAGGTCGGGAAGAAGATGGGGAGAAAGAATTCATGAGAGGGATGCATTTCCTTAGAAACGTTATTAATTGGCTGGGCAAAACAAGAGAGGCAAATAAAATAGCTGCTCCTCACTAAGTAAAGGCATCTTCCTCCCTTATCTCATTAAAAATTAAAAGCACTCTTGGTTTAAGTAGGGCAAATTAGTAATTAAGTGCTATATAATCAACTTGTATAAACATAATATTGAAGGGGAGGCCAGATTAATCACTCCACTGGCTTGTTTGGCCCCCATTAATGTACCTTTTTCTCAGGCCCTTCCTGTGATGCCAGGATGTATTTTCTGCTGCTGGAGGTCGAGTGGGCCGCGATAGATGGGCTGACAAATGATAGTGGACTAGATCTGGAAAAGGTATACTTGTGTGTGGGCCTCCATTCAAAACAGGAAATTTTTCTCTTTCCTTCTTTAGGGTTCTTGTAGGAGCCTACATGTGACACAGGCTGTCCTACCTGGTACCAGGACAAAGAATTAAGAGTCTCAGTGTCCCAGGCCATCCCTGTCTCATGGGCAGAGTGGATCCAGACAGATCAGTTCTGAAAAAGTCTTTACTGAAGTATAAAGGCACAGACCATTTGCTTGGGCCCACATCTTGATTTCCTCTACGTCTCACCTATAAAAGATCAGATTGTAGCTATATTGTCTCACAACATGTTGTTAAGTAGACATGTTAGTACAAATATAGCAAAATGGTTTACTTAATGTTGCCTATTCTTTGTTTAAATTACAATTATTATACAATGGGATAATGGAGCATCAAAGAAGGAGTGTCTTTTGCTGTTAGAGCTTAGGAAGCCCCCCCTCCCCCATTCTCCTACCCCAAGGTAGCAACTTTTGAGCTAGGCCTTGGAACTGGGGACTCTATGGCCCCAGGCCTGTGCACTTCATGTTTACAGTGGAATTCCTCCTCTCAAGGCAGAGAGAGGAAGGTAAGACTGAATGTTTACAAATCTCCACTTCCCTTGACATAGGAGATATTAGTAATAACTGTTATGCAGTATTGTGGCAATTGCCTGGCAAGTGTGGGAAGCAGAGCGGTAAGAGGAAGTAAGCTGAGTCCATTGTAGGCAGTGTAAGAGAAAATCACATGGACAGAAGAGAAAAGAAGCCGTCCAAGTCACCCTGCTGTCCCCCAGGGGATGGTATCTCCTTGTTTTGCTAGCTAGATGAACAAAACTGGCTAGAAAAGTTCTATATGAACTAACCTCACTGAGTTGCTGCAAATCTTCAAGGAATGAAAGCACATTGGACACAATGCCTGTTATACAGTAAAAACTGATTTCCTATGTTAATTGAATACTCACAATAACCCATGGAGGGAGGTGGTAACATTGTCTCATCATATAAAGCAGAAAATGAGGTACCAAGATGTTAATCAGCTTGCCCAAGGTCATGTAGGCTCTTCATAGCAGGATGTGGGTTTAATCTCAGGTAGTCTGGCTCCAGACCCATTTTCCACATATCCTACCCCCAACCCAGAGCTTTGGAAGGTGTATGTTGCGTGCTAAAATAGGGTAGATGTCTTTCTTCCTCCTGCTTGAGAGATAGTAGGCCAAGCCTACAGTCATGGTGACCCCTCACAGGTGGGCAACTAGGCAGGCCAGAACGACTCACCATAAGTCATTAGCCCTTGGACATGATGTGCATGCTGCCACTCATACTGATCTTGGCAGTTTTGCATAAAGAACAAATAAGTTGTTTACAATTCATACACTCCTTCTATCCAGGACTTGAGCAGCTTACAATAAGTGACTAAGCATGCTATGGAACAAAACTCAAACGACAAACTATGTAGAAGAGGAAAATACACTAACTACATATACTAAAAGAGTCTTCAAACTCAAATGCCTTTAGGTGCATGGAATGATACCAGTACAGGGTAAGATGGCTTAGTTGTGTACCAGTTTGGAGAAAAATACTAGAAAGGTACTATTATTGGCACTGAAAGAACTTCCTAAGGACTTTGAAACAGACTGTTTTATCCCAAATGGTGGGTGCCAAAACAAACCAAACATCTATGGGACTGATTTGGTCTGGGGGTCTCTAACCTACTTTGATGATGCTTTAGGCAGCCATGGCAAAACTGGGAACTGAGTCCTGTTGTGTGGTGTTCACAGAGTCACAGAAGTATACCTCTTCTTTTAAGAGATGACATTTTTCCTGGTACCAAGTTCTAGAATTGTCAATTATTTCGACATTAACCTAGAAATCCTTCCTTGGAACTTCTATAGAAAAAGGGGAAGAGTTTGTTACATAGGAACTTGTTGAAAATCCAGAGCATGACATTAAAATTTGGTTTCAGGTCAAAAAGAACCTGGGCTTATAAATTTCTGGAGTTGTAACTTAGCCCCAGGGTAGAGCTGAGAATACCAGGTTTGGGACATGGAGAGCATGTCTCTTCACCTCTCTTGCCTGAATATTCCTTCCTGCAGCCAGCTTTACAAACAAAGCTGTGTCACTGACCTGACCCAGGAGTGTTTTAGAGGACCTCAGTTCTAAAGCCTTTTACCAGCCTGGCATCAGAGACGTGTTAAAATGAAGCACCCATCAATTGAGAAGGGCAACAGATGTTGAAGCATATCAAATATCAGTAAACAGCAAACCCACAGAGAGAGGCCACTGAACTTGGCAATCTCCTCACAAAAATACCCCATGGCCTCCAAGAGAACGCTGTGGACTTTTATAAACTGCATTAAGGCACGCATTCTTTTTTCATTTGGACAATTGCTACACCATGAAATATTTTCACTTAGAGCTAATCTGTTACATTCTGGTATTTTTTTTAATCTCTCCTTTTCTAAAGGGTAAATGTAATGCTCACAGGGTATTCTAGACTTTCAACTATGGGAATACAGGTCTTTAAAATATCTTCCCAGGTGGGCTTGGGTTGTGGTTCAGCAGTAGAATGTTTGCCTAGCATGTGCAAGGCCCTGGGTTCGATCCTCAGCACCACATAAAAATAAATAAATAAATGTATTATGTCCAACTACAACTAAAAAGTAAATATTAAAAAAAAATCTTCCCAGTAATTATGAGGAGTTACATGTTGCATATTCTGCTATCTAGTACCCTCCCTTTTTTACTATTAGCATTATGATTTGTATTATAAATGACAAATAGGGCTATAAATAAGAATGCAGACTCTGATATCACACAAATCTGTGTTCAAATTCAAAGTTCAGATTTATAACTGTGCATTAGATCAATCTCTTCTCCTCTCTAAGCCTGTTTACTCACTTGTAAAAATGGGACTTTCAAGAGTGTGAACCTCATGTGATTGTTGTGAAGATTAAATAATATATAAGTATTTGGCACATTTATTGCATGGAAATCTCAATGAGAGGGATGCAAAATGATGATAATGTTTATGATGATAACTACCATTAGTATTAGCTGACTATGCTGAATTAATGCTTTCCATGTTATTGAAAGATGTCTGGATTGGTCCTTGGCTTGCTTGCTCCCAGAGATCTTATTCACCCTTTCCCCCTGTTCTACTCCACTCCGCTGTGCATTGCATTTCCCAGGTTGCCTTGTACCTGACCTCTGGACTCTTGGCCAGTGAGAGATTCTGGTGGAAGAAGGAAATGCTGAAAAAGAAGTCGAGTCCCTTCTCCCCTTTGCTACAGCTACAGGTGCATGTTCTGTGTGGTTCTGCCTCTAGCCTTGCTCTTTCAGGCCCTCATTCTGGCCAGCCAGCCTGTCCTTGGTTTGAGTTCCAGCCTGACATTCCCAGAACCTGGATGTGGTCATACTATTTCTTCTCACCAGCCCTTGTTTTCTAAGAGGGGTAGCAGCTTTCTGCTATTGCTACCTTTGGGACACTTCAAATAACCTGTTTGGCCTCTAGGTTTCTTCTGTCACTTCTTCTTTCTGTTGAAGGCCTAAAGTACATTCGTTTTTTTTCTGACTGGCATAATTGCTTTTAAATATTATAAGAAAATCAATCAGTGAATTCACTTCCTATTCTCTGTCCCTATTGGAATGAGGTAGGCCAGCTGGGGAAAGAGTAGATGGTTATGGTGGAGAGTTTTACTTTGACTAAGTAAAGCTCAAAAGATAAGAAATTGTCCTCAGTATGTTTACTGATAGTGCCTTGGTACCCAACTCAGAACCAGGCACTAGGTAGGGCCAACAACCTAAGAGGCTTGCTACCTCTTTGAGAAGACAAGACTTGATTCAGCCAGGCATGGTCAAAGAATGGGCCCTCTCTTTCTTCAGAGCTCTACATTGTTCACTCTTGTAAGTGGGTCACTAGAGTAGGTATATGTTTGTTCTTATACCCCAAATGAGGAAATGGAGACTTCGAGAGGGCCCCTGGTCATACCACTACTAAATTTTTGTACTAGGAGTTTAACTTAAGTCTAAATGTCTCTCAGAGCCTACATTATTAGAGATTTTTATCCATTTCTCAAACTTGTTCCAGCTTTCTTCTGTTCCTTGCACAAAAAATCAAAGCTGTGTACACAACTCATGCTATTCTAATCTTATATAAAGTTCTTTACAGAAATAACATTCAACCATTTTCACTTAATTCTCAGAACAGGTTTATGTGGAAAGTTTATTGTATTAATTTTTTCAAATGAGAAAAAATACTCTGATAATGAAAACCACTTACCCAAATTAACACTGTTTATATTCAAGCTATAATTTTTATGTTCCCAAGCACATGCTCTTTCTCCTGGTGATATGCAAGCCTTAGAGTATGCCAAGTGGTTTAGAAACTAGAAAAAGAGGACAAAAGGAAAAGCAAAACCAAGCTCCCCACCTTCAAGTAGCGTGACAGTTGTGTTAGAGAAATAAAAACAAAACGACCTGAAACCAACTGTGTCATTGTGTCACCTCCTCTCTGGCTATGGCTTCCTATAAGAAGTGGGCTTGGAATGAGTTAGGTGGAAATGTTGATTTAGGTAGAGAAGCTCAGGAGGGAGCTTTTTAGAGAGAGGTGCTAGAGAGAGCTCAGGAACAGAGTGGTCAGGAAGAGGTCAGTAAACTCCAGGAAAAGGTCCCAGTACAAGAGTCACAGGAGATGTATTAGCTAGCTAAGGACCACAGCTGATTGGGGATGGCAGTTGTGAACTACAAACAAATCCATTAGGAATTAGAATAGTGGTCTCTTAGGAGCATCCTTTGCTTAGTATCCCCTCTTCCTTTAATTTCTGTAGTAAAAATAAAATTGTTGTAGACTGATTATCTTGTTTTTTAAAAAAGTCAACAACATAAAGTGCTTCATAGATATCATTATGTTTTCTGCTTAAGAAAAATAGCCTATAAATAATAACAAAAAAGTTATTACCTATTTCTAACAGTTTTAAAGAGCCTCAGCAATAGAAGGAAACACTTTTTCAATACTCCTAGAAATCTATGCTATTTCACTAGCACACATTTGTGTACAGGGTTCTATAAAATATCATACTTTAGAATTTCAGCATAGAGAAGGCACCTTCTGAGATGTAGGTCATCCACAGATAGAAGCAGGTAACCTACCTGTAGCTCAAAACCTACATTCCGCCCTCCTCATCCCCTTCCTGTCAGGTGACATCTTCGCCTGGAGGAGCCTGTGTGTTGGATGGAGCTGATGGTGATGAAATTCCTCCTAATCTGTCAGTTGCACCTGTCAGCATCTCTGATGAGGAGGGATTTTGACAAACCAAACTGGTCTGGATAATTGGGTTATAGCAGTTGTCCTCCTCTCAGTAAGCTAACCATTCCAGACAGCAGAGGAGAACGTTATAGACAATCCTAACCTGGAGGTTTAGGCAAGTGTTCAACCACTAAGAAAGAGTAGGCTTTTCCTGCAAATGTGAGTTTCCAGCATATTGTAATATGGTGGGTAGCTGGGACCCCTGTCTTCAAGGAGCTCCTAAAAATGAAGCAGAGGGGATCCACTGAGTATGCACCAACTGCTACTTATGCATTTTTAAAATTATTAACTCAATCCTCAAAACCATCTCATGAAGTCCTAGTATTATTGTCATTTTGCAGAAAAATGCTGAATTACAAAGAGGGTGAGTCCCTTCCCCAGGTCACAGTAGAAAGAAGTGAAGCTCAGATGTGAACCCAGATGTTCTGACCCTATGGTCTGCTCAATCTGAAGTGCTGAAACCCACCTCTGCAAAGTTTCTTTGAGGAACACATTTGTACTACCTGTAGCTATATCAGCGTTTGCTGACCCTACTCACGTGTAAGCTTCCAGGTAAGGGTCCAAGGCTAATTCATGCTTAGCCAGGAGTAGGAGCTGGATAAATGTGTGTTATGCCAAACTAAAGATGCAGTTTTACAGAGACTTTGTAATCTTCCTGGGGCAGGCTAAAAAGGGAGCTGCTTGTGGCTAGCTACATGGAAAGCTAGCAATTTAAGACAATGGTGCTAGTGGGGATGGATTTGGATGGAAAATTCTTAACAGGTAAAATCTAATTTGTCTCTAGATATGACTTTATTCACACCATCACTACTATAAATTGTTCCTTATGATTTTTGCTCACTCAAGTTTTTTCAGAGATAAGCTCCCCATCTTTAGAGTATATTCAGTCGCTGAATAACTCAGTGTGTGGCCTGGGAAAGAGTTCTACCTCTTTGGGCTTTGGTTTCCCCATCTTTAAACTGCAAAAATAATGTCATAAAGGAACCTCTGGGACGCCAGTATATACAACAGACAGAAGGTGCCCATGCCCTGAGCTCACCCAGCAGATGTCTTCTTCTCCATGTTAGCCTCAGAATATCTCTGCTGAGGGTGAGGATTGGACCAGACTGTTTCCAAGGAAATAATCCAAATATATTAAAATAATTAATAATAATAATACAATAATAAAGTTGCTTCAAAATAGCCTAGCCATTGAGAATGGTAGCTAGAGTCTCACTACAGGGCCTGAGTGCCTGAGCGACTGTGAGATGCTATGTCCCTGGTGGGACAAGAAGGTAACTTGCTCTGGTCCTGTATGGTGGGCTGGGAGCTAAGGCTGCGGGCCTCGGGCTCCTTGCTGAAAACAGACTGAGTGCCATGGCCCTGGTGAATTAGAAATTTTATCCAGCAACTCTTGGAGATTGATTTTCCGTCTGGGGATCTGACCTCTTGCTTCACTTAGCAGAGGAGATCAGACTGTTCTGGGAGGAGTCAGTGAATTGGCCTTTGGAAAGGCCCTCCCTTGCTTTCTCTTTTCTTTTCCTTTCTTTCTTTCTTTTTCTTTTCTTTTTTTGTTTTTTGTTTGTTTGTTTGTTTAACACTGTTTCAAAAGGTATTTTTTATTACCTCCAAGGGCTCAACACTACTAGTTTGAATCCTTCTTGGCCATTAGAGCTTTAAAACATCCATACCGCCGCCCACATCAGTCCTTTGTGCTGGATGAGTATTGAAGCTTTAATTTCATTTATGTCATTGGATTTATATAAAAAAAAAAAAAAAAACCTTTGAAATTGGGTATGAATGCCCCCATTTTCTTTGTTTTTGTCATGTTCACAGACCCCTTATGTCCATGCCTCAAGAGTAGAATCTTTCTTATCTCAGAATCTCCGGAGCCTAACAGCTTGACAGAGAAGCTGCCTGGCAGGTTTTTGTTCATTAATTGAGCAGATACCTCTAGGTACAATGGTAAGCAAAATAACCATGGCCCCAGACTTTATCACATCTGCAGGTGAATGAGAGAGAAAGTTAAAGCGATGAATAAAATATATGCTCTATCTTGAGTTAAGAGCTACAAAGGGGGAAAAAATGGTTGAATGGGAAAACAAATTAGAATGACAGATGAATAAAAGTAAATGACCTCAACTCCTAACTCTAGATGTCTCATCTCCTCTCTGTAAATGGTAATCATTGCCATTGCTTTAATTATCACAATTGCTACCATTTCTTGTGTACCCACTACATTCTAAACTGTATGCTAGCATCTTCACATTGATTATATCAAATTTCCACAATGACTCTGCCTGTTAGGCATCCTTATCCCTTATTCAAGATGAAAAATAAGATACAGAGAATATAATTAAATTGTTCGTGATCAGAGAGCTTATAACTATCATAGATGAAATTTGAATCAAAGTTGGTCTGACATTCTGTTCTCAGCAAGGGGAAAAGAAAAACCCCATAAACTCTCAATATTATCACAGGGGTTCAGCAGGCAGCCCAAAATGAGAAATAATACATCATATTACCTGGTAAAAAGTCTATTCTACTAGGTGAGAGGACAAAAAGAAAGAAGAAAAAACCTTGCTGGAAAGTGGATGGGAAAAGGAAGAAGATAATATTCTTTAATTGGCCATCTTATCAGCCTAACAATAATAAATGATCATCATGGCAACAGGATGTCTAATTAATGACAGATGTTGAATCACTTTAAAAGCCACACCAACCAAATGCCAAGCTGATACCATAAGCTTTTCTGCCGTGCCACAGCTGGGCTGATCATGCTATGATCATGTTGGAGGAACCCATCTTTTGAGGGTGGAAGAAACTCAAACTCTGGGTTTGGCATCAAATTTGAGTCTGAGTCCCAAACCTGCCATTCCTGAGCTCTGTTGCACTGAGCAAGTCATCTCATCAAAGGAGGGAGGCAGTTATTGTTATTTTTATCATTATTACTATAGTACCTTTCCAAGAGAGCTTGCCTTGGAATCACAAGGCTGTGTTCTGACTGCTTCA